TTTCATCGTCTCTACTACCTCTCCATGGATATATTCCTTATTCCTTCTTCCTCCTCTTTTTCATTAGCCTGAGGATGACAGGGAGACTCTTCCACTTCCCTTGTGCATGTATTTCCATTTTTATAGGAATGTTTTTTATGTAAAAGCTCGTGTGTCCTTGCCACTTCCCTAAAGTCATGCTCGGGAGCTTTAGAAACAGCTTATTTCCAGTAATTATTACTCTGAGCATTTCACAATTAAATCATTACTTTTCTCCTCGGCAATGCAAATTCCGGGTGCTCCAAGGTTTCTGTAGGAATGGCTTGCTCTCTTTTTTTGCTGCTGAGTAGACTCCTAATGAAGATTATGTGGTTTTTACACCATAAAAACATGAGCAGACTTAGAAATCAGTCCCTTAAAATTTGGAGTCGATTGTTAAAACTGATGAATAAATTTTGGACTGTGATAAATGTTGGTTTCCGTGCGTAAGAGGCATTTCCTCGCCCTCTGAGAAGCTCCTGCAGGATGAGGATGGCTCCACCCGGGAAGAGGAGGCTTTCCAGTGGAGATGGTTTATGTTAAGGGCAGCAGGTGGGAAGTCCAAACATTCCCCAAAAGCCCTGCAGAGGAAGGCAAACACCGCAGGGTGCCAGAGCTCTTGCCATGACTCAAAAAACACTCACCCTGCAAGATCTGCCCGATAAAGCTCATGCCTGGAGGATGAACTCAATTAGAGAGCAGACTGTTTGCAGGAATTGTATCCCTACAATTTCGTTTTCGGAATGTGGGATTGCAGCAGTTAATTAACTCTTATAAAAACAGCACAAATTACCGTATCCATTTCCAAGATCCACCTTTCGCAAGAGCCCAGGGAAAACAAAGGAATGGGACTCGCGTCCCTAGAAAAAGACCCACCGCGAGGCCGCCGCTATTGATTCAAACATTTCTTAAACTGAAACACTTGCTGATCCCGAGGGAAGCTGGATTTATCCTAAAATGAGGATATTCGGTAGCTCGGCACCGAGATCCCTGATGATGGGATCCCTGATTTTCTGATGGAAAACCG